GCCACGACTGCGGCAAAGCTTTGGCTTTCGGTTCGGCCTTCAACAAACGCCGGCGAGGGACCGAACGACCCCATAAATGCCCCGAATGCGGGAAGTGTTTTCGGCTCAGCTCAACCCTCATCACCCATCAACGCCGGCACGCCGGCGATAAACCCTACAAGTGCCCCGACTGCGGCAAAACCTTTAGCGTCGGTTCAGCGTTCATCCAGCATCAACGGGTGCACGCCGGCACTGGTGCCGGCGCGGCGCCTTGCCAATGCGGCGTCTGCGGGAAGAGTTTCTCGGCCAGTGCCAGCTTGGTGAAGCACCAAAAATTACACCTGGAGGAAAAACCCTACAAATGTGGGGATTGCGGGAAGGGTTTCAACTGGAATTCGCATCTGGAGCGGCATCGCCGGATCCACACCGGCGAAAAGCCCTATGCCTGTCCCGAATGCGGTAAGAGCTTCAGCTGGAGCTCCCACCTCGACCGGCATCGCCGTACCCACGCCGTCGCCGGCGAACCCGCTTGCCGTTGCGCCGATTGCGGTCACTGCCCGGCTCCTCGTGGCGCCGAAGGCTCCAACGCCGCCGAGAAGCCCTTGCAGTGCAGTGAATGCGGGAAGGGCTTCACCAAGAGCGCGGCGTTGACCAAGCACCGGCGCGCCCACGCCGGCGAGAAGCCCTACAAGTGCGGGGAGTGCGGGAAGGGTTTCGGCTTGAACACCGCCTTGCTGCAGCATCAACGGAGCCACGCTGCCGGCAAACCCTACCAATGCGGCGATTGCGGTAAGAGCTTTGCCTGGAGCTCCCATCTTGACCGGCATCGGCGTATCCATATGGGTGAGAAACCCTACCGCTGCGGGGATTGCGGGAAGAGCTTCTCCCAGAGTTCCCACTTGGAGAGGCACCAACGCGTCCACGCCGGCGCCGAGCAGCCCTGCCAATGCACCGATTGCGGGAAGAGCTTCTTGGCCTCCAACAAGCGCCGGCGGCTGTTGACCGGCACCGCTGAACGACCCTGTAAGTGCACCGATTGTGGGAAGAGCTTTCTTTGGGGTGCCCGTGCCCGACCGACACCGGAGAGGACCCATAAGTGCAGCGAGTGTGGGAAGAGCTTCACTTACCGGGCGGAGAACGTCAAGCACCAGGGGACGCAGACGGGGGAGAAACCCTACACCTGCCCCGAATGTGGCAAGAGCTTCGGGCAAAATTCGGCGCTGGTGAAGCATCGCCGGATGCACACGGGAGAAAAGCCCTACAAGTGCGGGGACTGCGGGAAGAGCTTCAGCGTCCGCTCCAACCTCATCAAGCATCAACGGACCCACCTTGGCGAGAAGCCCTACAAGTGTCCCGACTGCGGGAAGGGTTTCATCCAGAAGTCGGACCTCACCGCACCCCGCCGGATGCACACCGGGGAGAAACCCTACAAGTGCAACGTCTGCGGTAAATGCTTCAGCGTCTCCTCCAACCTCATCAAGCACCAACGCATCCACCTCGGCGAGAAGCCCTACCAGTGCTCCGAGTGCGGCAAGAGCTTCATCCAACGCTCCGAGCTCACCATCCACCAACGCGTCCACACCGGCGAGAAGCCCTACAAGTGTCCCGAGTGCGGCAAGTGCTTCAGCCGTAGTTCCCACCTCAACCGCCACCAACGCACCCACG